GATTCTGTTCCTGTGTGGCTTGAAAGGAGAGGTTGCCTCAGGCTTTTGGATTCACGTGCTGACTATAATGCCTTGTACTTCATTTCGCTATATAGGCATTACAGTATCTAAAGTAACAGTGCTGAGACTTTTTACTGCTGACTCCTCTGTTCTGCACCTTTGTGCTGTGCAGAAATATAAAAAGTATGTTTTATTATGAAAATAATGCAGTAAATTATTACTACTTCTACAGACAAATTTTCCACTTGACAAGATTGGAAATTTGATGTACAGCAGACAGTTTACATTTTAGACTTGCATGACTTGAACTTTGTGGGACCTAGTCAAGTGTATGAGGAGGAAAGGTTTGGCAACCTGTGGCACGTGAAGACTATTTACTGTCATGGTAGTACAAAAGTGTAGCCAACAGTGTGATACCTTATTTTCAGCAAATCATCAGTTTTTTTTTTGGTTGTATTGGCTTCCATACGTTTATTTTACAAATGGTATTCAAGTACAAATGTTTCCCTTTTTGCTTATACGTTAGGTTAATAGTGTAGGTTAACACAAACTGATAAGTCATTCCTCTGTGTTCAGACTGGCTATCAGACTGGCTTGGGGAGGTGGGAAAAGCACTGAGTGATAACTTTCTATTCACAGAAAGGCCTGCCTACTTTGTGAATTTCTGTTGTGATTGGAGAAATCCGTGACAATCAGCTTTATTTTTAAATCTATTTAAATAGTATTTTTGTGTATCTGTGCTTGCTGGGGAAATTGTGCTAGCAACACAGGAGTCCACAGTCTGTATCTCACACCGACAGTTTGCTCAAGTGATCCAGGTACAGTAACATGGATAGAGATGAAGAAAACTACTATGGAAAACATGGTAATTTACTTGCTTTCTTATGACAATTCAGAGCACCTGATCAAAATCTCACGTAGTTGAACTGTGTTATTTCAGTTGACTTTAATAGGCTTAGACCCAGCCTCAGATGGTTTTCTATAACTTCTTCAATTATTAGCAATATTCTAACTTTTTCTGGCATGACATTTGCTAGTTCGTTTAAATTGCACATCAAAGGTAAATTTTACATGTATATATAGTAAATTTTTATTTTAGGTAAGTAATTTAGAGTTGGTTTTTCAAATTACTACAGCAATTAACTTCAGATGCTGTTTGGAGTCAGAATTGGTAAATGAAATGAGCTATTTCTTGTAATGACATACTTCAACACACAGAAGTTTCCTATTATAAAGCAGCCTGTGAAATAGATCTGCCTCAACTGCAAAGAACGAATATAATCTCAGTTTTTTAATCTTAGCAAAAAAAGTGTCTGTCATCCCTCACCACTTCTTTCTTCCTTATGCCTACCAAACTCCTAATGCTTGGAATTTGCTTTCTAAATACACTTGGGCTTTTTGTAGCAAGGGTAGTGGTTTGCTTTTACCAGGAGCTGTATGGATACTCGTAGCATAAATAATTTCCACATCAACCCAAAGAATTTTCTGAACTTTTAAAGAATAGTAGTAATTAAGTAGGGAATTTGATATCTAATTCAGAAAAATGAGATGAAACAAACAGCATTTTTCTTTGTTCTTCCTTGAAACTGATTACAGTTGTGATCAACTGTGTCATGTTTTGGTAATTAATGTTCCAGGGATGCTACCTGCTACTTCTGACAGTGAATTTTAGAGTATTTCTAATTTAGAATGTATATTCTGTAATGGATTTATACCAAGAGCTCAGTGACAAAGCAGTTTGAGTCATGTTGCACTGCACCACGCCACCATGAGCAAACCTCTTAGTCCCTCTATTCTCTCCAGTTTGTTTGTATCTTCTGACATTCTAGGTCCATGAGCTAGAAATAGTTGTTCATCTGAGGCCTCACGTGTCCCCAGGCACAAGGAACAGCGGCTTCATGAGTCATGGTCACACTTCTTGAAGAAGTGGTGCTTTTTTGCAGACATAGCTTGACTGACTCATTCTCTGTTTGTAGTATGCTGTAATCCTTTAGTATTCTTCTCAATAGTGGTTTTGAAAGCAATTATTCTATATGGATTTCTGAATGGAGTTTGTTTTTATAACTCTTGTTAGTTTACAAAAATAATTTTGAATTGTTGTTTATCAAAATCCACTTGATTCTGACTCCAGAAGTATTTTAACACTTGTCACCTGCCTAGTTTCAAAGTGTTCATTCTACTTCTTTGTTCAAATTTTTAAGGAAAACATTGAATAGCTTTGAAGGATAGGTTCCTCCATCCAGTCGTGGGGTTGAGCTAACTGCTAGCATTCAAGAGTGAGAACTTGGAGTCTTAATGGATGACTCAGTGAAAATGTTTGCCCTGAGAAGCAAGTAGACTGTAAGAATGAATTGTTAGAAATGGACTGAGGTCAGATAGAAAGAGTCATTATAGGATTGTATAAATTTGTGTGAATGTCCTGTGCAGTTCTGGCCCTTCCTTTTTTAAGTGATCTATAGTAGCACTGTAAAAGGTACAGAAAGGGAGTATAAGCATAAACAAATCTATGAAATGGCTTATGTACAAGAAACATTTGAACAGACTGGGACAAGTAAAGGGGAATATAATAAATTGTGAAATTATTGGTAGCATGCCATGGTGCCACGTTATACAATACAGTTATAAGATGACTGATTGCAAGCTTAAAACAGACAAAAGGAGGTAGTACTTCAATGGTTCATTAACCTGTAGTACTCTGTGATATAGGGCATTGCAGATTGTTAGAGTATATGCAAGTTAAATAGAGATTTATGAAATGAATGAGAAAGAAATTCACTCACAGCTATTAAATACAAAGTCACTACCTTTAGTTAAGAAAAGTGAAGTTGCAAATCTCTGTAATCTCAGTTTTAGGGAAATACTGTGATGTTTCTTCTCAGATATGGCCCCCCATACAGGATATGGGTTCAATGAAATTTTTGGGGGTTTTTTTTGTGATCTGGTGTGACTGTTCTTATGTGCTCAGCTTGGGTGTCCTGTATGAGCAATAAACAGAGGCTCACTCCAGTATGCCTTAAGGCCAGAACCTATCCATCGGGAGTGATGTTACAGACTCTGATTTGTTCCAGAGATGAATTATTTTGTAGAAACGTTTGTTTTGTAGACATTCCTGTTCAAAAAGGTTTTTTGATATATAGGTGTTGGCCCAGCACTAGGTATTGTATATGGCACACTTGCTTCCTGGACCATGGTGGGCACCTGTGTCACAGCATTACTTCTTCCACTCCCTGGTGTTGCTGTCATACATCACTTCTCTGAAGTTTCGGCTTTATCAGTCTCTTCTGTGTTAAAATATATTTGTTGTAGGAGGTTGTTAAGGTAGACCTGAACACCTCAGATGAAGGGCAAATAGAATTTTATTATCTGCTGTATTTATTGTACTGGTCTGTGTGGATTTTGATAAGGTTTTTTTGATATAAACCCAGAACAAAGTCTGGCATTTAGTTAATAAGTAAATTCTGCCTTTGAGAAGTTGCTGAATTCTTCTCTTAGAAAATAGATATTTTTCTATGGGTGGGGTAAGATTTAGGCTGGCAACACCCTTTAATACCAGGTATATTCAGAAGAGGAGATCCTTAAGAAGGCAGTGAAAAAGCACTCTGAAACAGTAATTTGTATTGCAGCATTGACATTTGAATGAAGAAGTAATTTTTCCTTGCATGAAGTTTGGTTCAGTAAATCTCTATAATTACCGAACTTAAAAAAAAATCCCATAAAACTGAATAGCTATCTCCAAAAGGAAAAATCCAAATTCTGGTCTGCCAAAAGGAGAACTGCTTCTTTCTTTTCATACAGTAGCTCAAAATTTGAAAATTTAAATTCAACCATAAATTTTTGTTACTCTTTACCAAATGAGATTTTACTGTAATTTATTTTATTCCAGTCCACATTGGCAGCACAGATTGGTGAGTAAGTATTTGGGAGTTTCTTAATATAGTTTGCTTATGTGCAGAGTGAACCAGTTGGAACTGTGCTAGCCAGAATAGCCACATGAAAAAAATGTGTCACGTTTGACTCTTTCTATCTGTAAGATCTGGCCAGATGTTACTGCCTGTTTCTAGGAGGAACCTGACTTCACCTTCTCGTCATTCTGAGATTCATAGAAAGCAACAATCTCAGAGATGTATGAATAACCAACTTCAAAACTTGTTTTGCGTCCTGCACAGGGATGTGTGGTGGGTTCACCCACTTGAGATTTAGAGAAGGTGCTTGAAACACGTGCTCTTCTGCCTGCTCTGCAGCACTGTACCTCATCTCTGGCTTTGCAGAAGCTGCTGCAGTTATACCACCCATGCAGGGTAGTGCAGAGGAAAATCAGCATGACATTTCTGCAGTCTCCATCCATGCTTTGTCATCTGATAAACCCAAGCCAAAAAAGGCAAACCTGCATCTCTGTGTCTATAAAGTCCTGTAACCAAAGCAGTGGGAAGTAAGAAAACTCTTCAGGATTCTTAAGTATAACATTAAGTACAGACATGGCTCCAGACTGTTCTTCTGCTGGTGAGGAATGTAGTGCTCCAAGGCAGCCTTGGCTGCAGTGACTACATTATCTATAAGTTCTCTTCCAACCCCTTAACATTCTGTGATTCTAGAGAAGAATCAGAAGGACTTAGCCTGTAACTCCAGTGAGGTAGGTTCACTCACTCACTGTCAAACACACTTAGCATGTGACTGTGAGACATAATCCTTGTCTCAAATATGTTGTGAACCCTGTGCTTAGGTGTAGTCATAGGATATACAATAAAGGTAATTTATCATACGGTAATTGTAAGGCCCTCAATATTTTTAAGATAGAAGAATTAAAGCTTTGATCTCATACACAAAAGCTAGGTAATTATATTGGTGAATTACCGATACTGCCCAAATGAAATTATTATAAAAACCCTGATTAAATAGGAATATGTGGAAGATGTTTTTCAAAGGACTGGTGTTAACATCCCTCTCTGAACAATTTTTTTTAAATAAGGGCATGTTTTTATACTGTTTTATTTTAAATGCAGGTGAACCAAGGAAATTTGACCCGAAGTTCAGAGGACCTATTCACAGCAGGTAAATATTGTTGCTCATTCTGTTACATTCTTTTGGTTTGCAGTGAACAGTGAATAAAAAATTTTGTTAACAAAACTTCTGAATTTGATTCTGCACGTCTTCTAAATCCGGGAGACTATCTTTACGCCCCTTGAGGATGCATGATTATTGGGGAGTATTAAACTGTGTGCTCTAAAGTTCTTTCAGTCTGAATGCCAGTTCTGTGTGCCTTGCGTTGACTAGTACCTGCTGTCTCACCGTGTGCCGATATAAGTAGGACCATTTCAGCTTCTGTCATGTTTTGGGGTGCCACAGCCATGTGATGCAAACTGTCTTGTTTCCAAACAGCACAGGACTGGACCCTGTCACACTTTATTCTTCACTTTGCAGCTGGTTTTCCTGCTCCCGTAGTCACCCCACCAGGGGAATTAGTTCTCTCCAGAGAATGGCCTGGTCGTGTGCCATGACATTTTTGCTGTGGCTGGCCAGCAGGTAAATCCCTGGCAGGAAATCAGTGGTGATTGAGAGTGACAGCAGTGAAGTACTGTCAGTGATGTGTCACTGTGCTGTCACTGCTGCCACTCAGCCCTGAAACCCTTACTTGAGTGACCAGTTTTTGCATGCATGAAGAGTATCTCTGAAGTGAGTGAGACTACCTAGGGTTCTGTGGACTGCAGAGTTAGAGCCTGAAATATTGCAATTCAGTAGTGGTTTTTTTGAGCAGTCTGTTACTGTGCCTTTCACATACATGAGGAGTGCTGAAACTGGTGATGGTATGCCAGGGAACTTCTCTTGTTTGTGCTGTTACTGTGTGATGTAGTCAGTAAAAATTGGTTTTGCACTGTGGCTTGCTGTTACATCTGTGTAGTTGTTTCTGTATAGTGACAGCAATACAGTACCTGCAATTCCAGGTATATTTATGTGCTATTCTAATTGTACATTCCACAGTGTCTGCTTAAAACTGCAACCAAATGAATACAGTGCAACACTACTATACCACCAGTGCATTTTATAATGCTTTGGTGAGATAGTATTGTTGGAAACAATACAGAAAAGATCAGTTCCCTAAGTATAAAGTGTTGAGTTCATTGTGCAGCAGACCATAAGAAAGTGGTAGGTACATTGATGCTTATTAAGCATACATGCAATGAGGTGCACTTGTGTTTAGATTCA